CTATCAAGAGGCCATTTAAGAGGGAGCTGATTCTAGCCACTCCAACAGTTATCGAAGTGCCTGACAACAAATCCTGAGTTCATCAATCATCAGTCCAGCCTTGGCAGACAAAAGAAAAATGATGAGAAACCTGTTAGATGGATGCTTTTGGGAGCCCTCATCAAGAAATTCCAATGGACTTTAATTTGGACATTTTCTGGTTCCCTGCCTAGAAATTGTAATACTAACTACTCTTGCCATTACTCTGACCTTTACTTTTCCTTCACATCTCCCAGGCACCAGTCAAGAACCTTCCTTTTCTCCCTATAGTTAAGAGTTATGCAATTTGGAAGTCTTTTAGATAGACCCACTGAAGGGCAGTACCCCAGTTGCCTCACCCTACATCCCTGTGCAACACGGAAGAAGCCAGAGGAGTCTGTGTCCTAATTCCCTACTGGCAATTTGGGTAAGCCTCTTCAGAGGGTGGTATGAAAAGAATAGGAGTTAGAAATTGGCTAGGCAGCTAGGGTAAAAGGAAAGAAAAGTAGCCAGTTTCTTTCTTGGCTAAAAGTCAAAATGCCCTTGTACCTTTCAGCAAAGTACTCTGTCCCAAAGGCCAAAAACGTTAAAAGTATTTGTGAGCTCTTATCCCAAAAAGATTTTGGGGTTACCTGTCATGGTAGTGACCACAGTTCAAGCCTGGTGGGCTTGGGGACCCCGATGGATATAAGTTAAGACACCGGAGATGCAAAGGTTCATGATGCCAGTGTATGTTTATTGTGAATCAAACAGCTTATATAGGAATCAGATCAGGAGTAACCAAGAAGTAACCAAGGAATCACTAAGGACACATCACTAACAGAAAGTAGCCAGGGAATAACCAAGGACACAGTACGTTACTACATTACCTCACCAGCTGAAACTCACATGAAGTTTACAGTATCTAAGATTCAGCTATGATTGCTCTTAGCAACTACTCTAATTCATAATTCTTACATAGAAACCAGGCTATCAGTGCTGAGAGACTTTGGTGCCTATAGACTGAAACAGGACTCTTTAGTTATGTTTCCAAGACTGTCAGTTAATCAGGGAAGCATAGCCTGTCAACTCTGACCACAGAAGCAGCGAGCTGGGAAGCTCTTAAAGTGGCAGCATTCTTTCTTCAATGCTAAAGTCAAGGCAGGCTGCCACAATCTAATGCAGCAATGGCTGTGCATGCAGTAAAGCTCCCAACAGTTACCTCTTCAGAGGGAAAATGTTACAATATCAATAGCCCCCTGATTATGTGATTTTGATGCTTGCTCTCTGTGTTTCATACAATTTCTTATAAATTACTACCATTGCTAAAATTACTACCAAGCAGGTCATGGTCAATTATAAAACTTTGGATTCTCCTGAGATAGATGAGTTGGCTCTTAAAGCTTGTGATGACACTTCTCCATTGTAAAACAAAACAAGGGGAGATGTTGGGGAACCCTGCTGTTAAGGTTGGCTCCTTTCTCAACAAGGGCTTCCTGCCTGGCTTACCTGGAAAGTGCCTCTAAGCACGGATCATAGTTACCTGGAGTAAAAACTACCCCCAGGTTTTTTCCATATGATAATTAGGCATTGCCCAATAGTCGGATGATAGGAGCCTACTGCCACATGTAAATAAAGGATACTATGAGCACCTATCAGCTGAAGCATTGGCTGCTGCCTCCACACTATATTTTCCCTGACCCCCACTGAATAAACGGAGCTGTTTCACTGAGTCTGGAGCTGTTTGTATCACTGAACCTGCCTCCCCAGAAGGGCTTTCTTCTGTCAGTGCTCACTGGCCGTCCTGATCCTGTTTGTTGCTTCTGCTCCCTTTGTCCTCGTGGATTGGTGGCCAGTGACCCACGAGGAAAGGGAGAGACCCCACACCCTGTTCCTTTGAATGATCTCGACGTCCTTGTTGAAATTCATGTCGCTATATGTTTTATTTGTCTGAATGTCTATCCTGTTTTTTTCTTCTTTTTCTTTTTTGGTCTTTTTGAGGCAGGGTCTCCCTGTAGCCCCAGCTGGCCTGGAACTCATAGAGATCTGCCTGCTTCTGCCTCCCAAGTGCTGGAATTAAAGGAATGTGCCACTATGCCCAGCCTTTTCTTCTTCTTTTGAGTCCAGGTCTTACCATGCTACCTATGTTGCCCAGACTTACCTCTGTTCTTCATTCTACTCTCCCTTCTCTTACTGCAGTTCCAAATAGCTGAGACTACAATTGTAGACCACTTTGCCTTTGACTACAGTGTTTTGGCTATCAAGTTGTGATTTTTTGTTGCTTTTGAGACAGGGTCTTTTTATGTAGTCCAGTATAACTTCAAACTCACTATGTAGCTAATGATGACCTTGAACTTGTGTGTGTGTGTGTGTGTGTGTGTGTGTGTGTGTTGCTAGAGATTGAACCCAGAACTTTGTGCATGCTAGACAAGTGTACCACTGAGTTGCATACCCAGCCCTGATTTTGTTTGGAGTAGAATGTAAAAGGGACCATGATTTTTTTGTGACATGCTTCAAGTGTTCCTATTTAAATCATGCTAGTGTGTGTGTGTGTGTGTGTGTGTGTGTGTGTGTGTTTAACCTAAAGGGGGACTTATGGAACGAATCGTTTCTTTTAAACTTTAAACTTTTTATTTTTATATTTATTTATTTTTGTCTTTTTGAGACAGGGTCTCCCTGTAGCCCCAGCTGGCCTGGAACTCACTGCGTAGACCAGGTTGGCCTTGAACTCAGAGCTCTGCCTACCTCTGCCTCCCAGGTGCTGGGATTAAAGGCTTGCACCACCATGCCCAGCCTAATTTTTGTTTTTTAAAAATATTTTATTTAGGGGCTGGAGAGATGGCTCAGCAGTTAAGAGCACTGACTGCTCTTGCAGAGGACCTGGGTTTCATTCCCAGCAGCTACATGGTGGCTACAAACTGTCCTTAACTCCAGTTCCAGGGGAATCTGAAGCCCTCTTCTGACCTCAGAGGCATTGCATGACACGGGTGCACTCACATGCAGGAAATCACTTATTTCTATTTTATGTGTGAGTGTATTGCCTGCATGTGTGCACCCATGTCATGCAATGACATGTAATGCCCACAGAGGTCGAGGTCAGAAAAAGGCTTCGGATCCTCTGGAACTGGAGTTATGGACAGCTGTTAGCTCCATATGGGTGCTGGGAATTGAACCTGGGTCCTCTGCAAGAGTAGCCAGTGCTCTTAACCCCTGAGCCATCGCTCCAGCCCTTAAACTTTTTATTTTCAAAAACTTTTTTTATGTTTACTTCTTTTGTGTGTATGTATGTGGGTGCACACATGCCATGGCACATATGTGGAGGTCAGAGGACAACTTGTAGGAGTTTATTCTTTCCTTCTACAATGTGGATTCCAGAAATTGAACTCAGGTCATCAGGTTTGGCAGCAAGTACCTTTACCCACTGAGCCACGTCACCAGCCCTCTTTTGTATATTTTGGTAGCTCAGGCTGGTGTTGAATTTCACATTTTTCCTGCTTCTATCTCCTGAGTACCAGGATGACAGGCATGTGCTGCCACATCTAAAACTGGGATTGGAATCTTATTATCTCTTGGTTTGCAGTCTAGGTTTTTATGACTGTTTTACTATACATAAATGTTTTTCCTAAATAATAGGATGTAAGGGAAAGAGCTTCACAAATACAACATGCAGCCTTTTTTCCTGAACATACTTTAAATCCTTACATTTATCTTTAATCTCAATTTAATATTTCCTGTTGGTAAGCATAGCTACTGAAAACAAGTTTTAAGTACTAATTTTACCTGAGAAAGAATGGTTGTCATACAGATTAATCTGAGATCTTTATGATAATTGACCTTAGGATGAATCGAACACAACTAATAGGTGAGTGAGACCTATTTAACTCTTTTCCTTGAATTATTCATGCTGAAACAGTATCGTTATATCTCAGTTGTGATAAGTTGGACTTATTTCCCCAGTTTGAATATTAATAATTGAAAACAGAAAAATGGTATTTGAGTTATCTGCCATGTGCAGCACAAAACTAGGTTTTAACTAAAACCTATTAACTTTTGCTTTCCTGTTCAGTATAAGATTTGTTACTGTGCTACAGGATTATTTGGTGTCTTGGTGTCTGCATCAATCTTTGTACTAAGGTTTCTCTTCTGTGATACCATGTTTTCTGCCATTATACAGATGCTTTCCTCTTGATGTGCTCTGGCAACAGTACTAACTAGAACGCACTATAATTTATAATGTTTTAATCTCAACACTCAGTAAGTAGAAGCAGGAAGATTGTGAGATTGAGGCTAAATAAAAGGATATAAGGGAGACCCTGTCTCAAAAAAGTAATTTTCATATTAGAGTTAGTATATAGACTTAATCCATCATAATCTTTGCTTTCTTAAAGTAGCCATGGACAGGGTGCCACTTGCGTGTAGTCCCAGCTACTCAAGAAGCTGAAGCAGGAGGATTGCTTGAGCCCAGGAGCTCATTATAATATATTGAGACCCATCTAAAAAACCAAAACCCTAGAAGCCTTCAGTTGTTTATTGATTCCCATTTTGTTTCTCAGATATCCCAATGTCTGTGGGTATAATTGATCCCAGGGCCAATCCCACTCAGCTAAACACAGTGGAGTTCCTGTGGGACCCTGCCAAGAGGACGTCTGTGTTTATTCAGGTAAGGCACTGCAGATGCCACTGTAGTCAGGAAGAATACTTGTTTCTACCAATTTGCTGCTTAAAGAATGAAACATACTGGGCTAAGGATGTAGCTCAGTTGGTAGAGTGTTTGCTGTAGTGTGTACAAGGCCCTGGATTTAGTCCCTTTCACCCATAAAGCTGGATATGTTGGTGTACACCTCTAATCCCAGCACTTGGAAAGTAGAAGTAGGCAGATCAAAAGTCTGACTGGGCGTGCCTTTAGTCCTAGCACTCAGGAGGCAGAGGCAGGTGGATCTCTGTGAGATCTAGGCCAGCCTGGTCTACATAGCAAGTGCCAGGCTAGTTGGGGCTACAGGGAGAGCCTGTCTCAAAAAGACAAAAAAAACAAAAAAACAAAAAAAAAACCAAACAAACAAAAAAACCAGTCGGGCTGGAGAGATGACTCAGCATTAAGAGTATGTACTGTGTTTGCAGAGGTTAGAGTTTGGTTTGCAGCACATCTAGCAGTCCACACTGTGGGGTACCTGTTCTCTCTCTCTCTCTCTCTCTCTCTCTCTCTCTAAGAAAGAAAGAAAGAAAGAAAGAAAGAAAGAAAGAAAGAAAGAAAGAAAGAAAGAAAAAGTTCAAAAAAGATGTGTTGTGCTGGATAGCTTAGTGTCAATTGGACACACCTGGGTTGAGGGAGCCTCAGTTGGGGAATTTCCTCTATTGGACTGGCCTATGGCCATGTCTGAGGGGCATCTTGGTGAGTGATGTGAGAGGGCCCAGCCCACTGTGGGTGGTGCCACCCCTGGGCAGGTGGGCCTGTGTTGCATTAAAAAGCAGGCTGAGTAAGGGCCAGGGGAGCAAGCCAGTAAGCAGCATTCCTCCATGGCCTGTGCTCCAGTTCCTGCTTCCAGGTTCCTGCCCTGAGTTCCTACCTTGGGCTCCCTCATGAACTGCAACCTGGGAGTTCTAAGCTAAATAAACCCTTTCCTTCCCAAGTTGGTAGTGGTCAGAGTGTTTTGTCACAGCAATGAAGAAACAAACTAAGACATGTGTTAAGTTAAAATCTTTGTGTATGTTGGGGGCAGGGTAGTGTGCTGGAGATTGAATCCAGGGCCTTATGTATGCTAAGACACATTTTTTTTGGTCTTTTTTGAGACAGGGTCAGCTGGCCTGGAATTCGCTGTGTATTCCAGGCTAGCCTTGATCTTATAGAAATCTGCCTGCCACTGTCTCTCGAGTGCTAGGACTAAAGGCATGCACTGTCATGTCTGGCTTTGATTTTTACTTTTATGTATACGAATGTTTGCCTGTATGTATGTGCACTGTGCATGACCCTGGTACCAATGGATGCCAGAAGAGGGCATTGGATCCATTGGAACTAGAACTACAGATGATTGTGAACTGCCATGTGGGTGCTAGGAATCAAACCCAGGTCTTTTGCAAAAGTAGCAATGCTCCTAACCAGTGAGCTATCGCCCCCCCCCCCAACTTTTTTTTTTTTTTTGAGTCAGCATCTGCTATGTAGCACTGGCTGGCCTAGAACTTGCTATGTCTGCTTCTGTCTTCTGAATGCTGGGATTAAAAGTGTTCCCACCACTCCTGGCTCTACCTCCCCTTTTTAAAATTTACCTTAAAAGGACTGGAGAGAGGCCCAGCAGTTAAGAGTACTGGCTGCTCTTGAAGACGGGTTTGAATCCCAGCACCCACTTGACAGCTAACAACTGTCTATAACTCCAGTTTCAGGGGATCTGACACCCTCTTCTGTCCTCTGCGGGCATTGAAGAACATGGGTATATACACGCAACCATAATATTCATACACATACAACAAAAATAAATAAACCAAAAAAAGAAAGTCTACCTTAAAGATGAAAATTGTCAAACAGAAATCATTTTTTGTGCTAACTGTGTATTATCTGAAGCAGTTACTATAGTTATGCACTAGCCCTTGATGGAATTATATCTGCACATTTCTATCCTAGTTTGTTTCTCCATTGCTGTGACAAAATACTCTAACCAATTCCAACTTGGGGAGGAAAGGGTTTATTCAGCTTACATCTCCTGGGTTCATCAGGGAGCCCAAGGTAGAACTCAGGGCAGGAACCTGGAGGCAGGAGCTGAAGCACAGGCCATGGAGGAGCACTGCTTACAGGCTTGCTCCTCTTGCTCCTGCTCAGCCTGCTTTCTTATGCAACACAGGCCCACCTGCCCAGGGGTGGCACCACCCACAGTGGGCTGGGCCCTCCCACATCACTCAACAATCAATAAGATGCCCCTCAGACATGGCTACAGGCCAGTCCAATGGAGGCAATTCCCCGATTGAGGCTCCCTCAACCCAGGTGTATCAAGTTAACATTAAAGCTATCCAGCACAATTTACTTCTGTTCATTTGTAAATTGCTGTATTTTTCTCATTTTGTCCATGAGGCTATAAGAGATGAAAAGGTGGTTGTTTTTAATAGGTGTTCATAAATGCCTGTTAAAGATGTTGCTATTAGTAGTTGTTCAAAACATATTGCTGATTGGTTTGGATAGCCAGTGATATTTAAGCCTTGATGTCAATTCCTTTCAGGTGCACTGCATTAGCACAGAGTTCACTATGAGGAAGCATGGTGGAGAAAAGGGGGTGCCATTCCGAGTGCAAATTGATACTTTCAAGGAGAATGAGAGTGGGGAGTACACTGAGCACCTGCACTCAGCCAGCTGCCAGATCAAAGTCTTCAAGGTATTCCTGGGTAGCATGCTGGCCTTGGAACCTTTTTTCTTATTGTTCTGTTTGAACATGAGGTACAAAGTAGCAAGTCAACTTATTTTTTTGCAAAAAACTCTGTCCAAGCTAGAGTTACTGAGGTAATTGTTGCGATGACTCTTAATTTATGTGGGGACATAACAGGAGCTTGTGAAAGGGCTCCAAGCAAAACTGTGGGTTCTCACTGAAGCCTATTGAAGTTATAAGCTCTCTTAAATCTCAAACATTTATGGAAAGTTGACTAATTTGGGTATGTTGATAGTTCATTTTTCCTTATTTAGGCATTTATATAATTTTTCATTTTGAGACATAGTCTCATGAGCCCAGGCTGGCCTCAAACTTGCTATGTAGCCAAGGATAACCTTGAACTCCTGATTTTCCTGCCTCCACCTCCCAAGTATTGGGACTACAGCATGTGCCAGCATTCATGGCTTGGTCTTTATTTTCATCACATGGATAAACATTCTCATGACAAGAAATTCAACTCTGCCAGGTATGGTGGCACATGAAAGGCAAGAAGCAGGAGCATTGCTGTGAATTCAGTACCAACCTGGTCTACATTGCAAGTTCAAGGTGAACTAGGGGAACATAGTCTTTGTCTCAAAAACTAAGAAGGAAAGGAGGAAAGAATTCAGTACTTTAAAAGTACAAGTACAGCCGGGCTTGGTGGCGCACTCCTTTAATCCCAGTCCCAGCACTCGTGAGGCAAAGGCAGGTGGATCTTTGGGAGTTTGAAGCCAGCCTGGCCTCCATCAACTGTGGCTACAGGGAGAGCCTATCTCAAAAAGAACAAAAAAAAAAAAAAAAAAAACCCACAAGTACATTGTTTCGGGGTTTGGGACCATGGGGAAAGACTACCCAGGCTTAAAAAGTTCCAAATCATTTGAATTAAACTTTTATAATTTTATTAGAATTTTAAAGAAAAAGAAATCCTCAGGGTAGGCAAGCTGGTAATCTTGGCAGCTCCCTTGAGGAGGTGAATGGTGGGAAGAAAGAAAGAAAGCCATGAAGCCATGCAGGTTTAGAGCCTGCATTGGAGGTCAGACATGTGGCTGACTGGCAGCCACATGGCTGGGAGAAGGAAGCTTTAGAAAAAGTAAAGAAATACAAGATGCTAGGGGCAGCCCAAAGCCTTAAAGAAAGCATCTTTAGTAAAAAAGGAGAGCCATAAAGAAAAGGAGAAATTAAGCTTACCTGAAGAATTCAGGGACACGGACAAAGTCATGGAATACATGGCTGTAGCTAGTCTGGAAGTTCTATGCTAGTAGGCAGGATCCCAGGCAGGAAAAACTTGCTGCCTCATTAACACACCAGGTATTCTGCGCATCTGTTTAGCATGACCCGCCTTCCTAGGGGTGTCTTATGGCCAGATGATTGACCAGTTAAATTTACACAGAATGGAGGCAGTCTGTATTACAACATGGTGGCACACTCCTTTAATCCCAGTCTTTCCCACTCTTTACCTACCTGACTCCCTAACCTCTTCCCAGAGGCAGCCATTGTCACAATATGGCCTACACTCTTCTGCTCCCCTTCTAAGCTTTTATGCATGTGCACAGGTAGGTTCGGACATCTTTTCCTTTCTTTGAAACATAAGTGGGATTATACTGTATGACTTGTTTTGAGGCTTGATTTTTTTTTCAGTTAACTATGTGCTTTGGAGATCTTACCATCTGTCATTCTTTTAATTCCATTGAACATTTAAGTTTCCTTCTTTCAGACTTAGATGGGATGATGCATATAGTTTTTTGTCATTGTGCATACATGATTATTTTATATGTGAATATTTAAGTTTTGTAAACTAATATTGTTGGCCCAAAATGTGAGCACTTGTATTAGAGCAAGAAATTTCTCATTTCAGCCCAAAGGTGCAGACAGAAAACAAAAAACAGATAGAGAAAAAATGGAGAAACGAACACCCCACGAGAAGGAGAAATATCAGCCTTCCTATGAGACAACCATACTCACAGAGGTAAACGGGCTTTTCAGTCCATAAATTTCACTCTTATTTATTTATTTTTATTTTTTGTGGTGCCTAGGATCAAACCTAGGACCTCATGTATGTTGGAGAAGCACTCTGTCACTGAGCTGCATCTCCATCCCTTTAATTTTCACTTTTGAAAGAAAAAAAAAATCTGTTACTTCCGGCCTGCTCAACATTTGCTTCTAAGGATACCCTCTTGACTGGTCTAGATGTGCTGCTAGGGAAGTAGCAGCATTCTAGTGTGGAGGACTGCAGCAAAATGTGCTTTCTCACTGTCTTGAGTTCTGTGATTTTAGTGTTCTCCATGGCCCGAGGTCACCTACGTCAACAATTCCCCCTCTCCTGGCTTCAACAGTTCCCATAGCAGTTTCTCTCTCGGGGAAGGGTAAGTCTGGGAAATGAAATTGGATTATGCTCAGACCAAATATATATTCTTTTATTATATTTCCATAAACATGATCATTCCAAATGAGTAAGAATCTACATTAGATTAATCTTTGACCAATTTTTTAAAAAAATTAAAAAATTTTTTTAGAAGAAGCATTTCATTACAGCTATAACATACTCAATAACAGTTTCCAGAGCAAAGATACATCTCTTTCAAAAGTGGTTATAAAATTTTTAGGTTCGCAGTTGAATTGATGGAGTTATACATTATTGAACTCAGTATAAGCCCTGTAAGCCATAAAATTCAATGAGTTTTTAACCTTTAAAAAAGATCTCCATTTCATTTAAAATTAATACTGTTTCTTACAGAAAGACTCATTGTTTTTGCCAATAACACTTAGATGTTGGCACATGCATCTCTAATCTGTGTGTATCTGATTATTACTAGTCATAATCAGTTGCACTTGGATCCTTGGAGCCTGTGTATGTCTACAAAGTCATCAGGCAGACTTCAACGGTATTGTCCACCACCTCTACCAATCAGCATGATGCAAACTTCCATGCCTTCTCCTCAAACACAATACATCCATAATACATTTTTTAAAATTTGTTGATTTTTTTCTGTGTGTGTATATCACACAGAACATCCCAAACCATCTTATTCAACTATACACCCACTTCCCAGATGGCACCCTCCCATAGCCTCCCTCCCCCTACTAGAGCCCTTATACTTTGATATCCCTGCTACTGTCCACTGTGTTGTTGACCACCCCCCAGCTGTTCCCCACTACTTTTCCATCTGGTGAATCCAGTCAGCCTATCTAGCGGTCTTTGTTTTAGGAAGGTCAGCTATTCCTCATCTAGGAGCAATCAATTGTCAATATTTCTTTGGGTAAGATTGGGGTCTGCTGTTCATTTTAGAACCCAGTTCTATGCAGGGTTACTATCTGGGAGTCCCTTGGGCCACCCTGGCCAACAACTCAAAGGAAGGTATCTCCTATCTGGCATTGTGGCTTGTTATATAGCCTTTAGCTATACATATGGACTCTTAAAAACTTATATTGGCCCCTTTAATCTTTGGTTATACTTTCCTTTTGGGTGTTTAAGGCCATACAGTTGGCCCAGATAAACTGATTTATTTTTACTGTTAAGGTCGTTTGAGGATCTGTTCCTCAGGGGTCACATGGGCTTGGGAGGAGCCCCTGGCTCCTTTCTTTTACCAGTTCCACCTATGTGAAGATAAGTCAAAGGTCCTGCTCAACCATGGTTGGCTTCATTTGGAAGCATGGAGGAAATGATTCCTCTGTGTTGACCCTCCTCTTTGTAGACTGGACATTGGTTCAGGTCCATCTGGTGGGGTCTCCTCAGCCTCCTTGATCAAGAGGACAGGTGACCCACCACCATTATAGGACATTTTGAGAGATGCTCATAGTCCCCTGGAACTAGTTGACCTAGGAGGACGAGGAGCAAAAACTGTCCTTTATGTCCCTCTGACCAAATTAGTATAGGCCTCAAAGTATGTCTGTTAAACACCCGA